TAAAGCTCCGCTGTGAAGATGCTAGTCTCCGGAGGTAAGCGACACATATAAGTGCGATCAGGAAAAACAACAGAGTAGCCAACACCGTCCGCAGACTTAGACCCATCGGTGAAGACAGAAACGGAGCAGGAGTGAGAAGAAAAGTACTCAAGGAAAAGGCGTTTTAGAACCGTAGGAGGGGTAAAAGCTTTAGTAATACGGGTCAAGGATGTACAAAACCGCGGAAGGGGGACTCTCCACGGGGGCAAAGAAGGAACAACAAGAGGAGAAACATTAGAAATACAAACAGAAAGAGAATCCTGTAAGCGAGATAACCGGACAGAAAGAGGGAGGTGGTGAAGAGGAACAGGAACCGCAGGAGGGGTAAAATTTAAAGCACGACAAAGGCGAGAGGAAGGATGTTGTAAGGACTGCACAAGATAGTGAAGACTGTAGCGATCACGGCGGTCCTGGAAAGACAGGAAGCCAGTGTCAACATACAAGCTAAGGACGGGAGTCGAAAGAAAGGCACCAGAACTGAGGCGCAACCCAGTATGGTGCAAAGCATCAAGACGGCGAAGAGTAGAAGGATAAACAGACGAGTAAGCAGGGCAACCATAATCAAGCTTAGACAGGATGAGAGAGGAATGTAAAGCAAGGAGAGTGCGCCTATCTGCTCCCCAAGAAGTATGGGACAAGACCCGAAGGAGGGTAAGGGCCTTAGAGCACTCAACACGGAGGTAAGAGATATGGGGAGACCAAGACAAACGAGTGTCAAGGAATAGCCCCAAAAGCTTCGCGGAATCTTTGTATTCAAGGGGATGACCATAAAGTGACAAAGAGGGACGAAGAACAACCCGTTTCCGCGTAAAAGTCATGGCACAAGTCTTAGAAGTAGAGAACTTGAAGCCATGACCTGTGGCCCAAGACGACACGGCATCAATTGCAAGTTGAAGCCGGCGTTGAAGGAGAGGCGAATCATCACCCTGACAACAAAGGGTAAGATCATCGACATAGAGAGCGGAGAAGACACCAGAAGGAAGAGAGGAAAGAAGACCATTGAGGGCAACCAGAAAAAGAGTAGTGCTCAGAACACTACCCTGGGGCACACCTTCGTATTCCTGAAAAGAGGCAGAGAGAGCGGTACCAAGGCGCACCCGAAAGGAATGACGAGAGAGGAAGATGACCATTTTGGTCATCTGAGTCAGGAAGTGAGTCAGGAAGCAGGAGAGTGAGTCAGAAAGCTGGGGAGTGAGTCAGAAAGCAGGGGAGTGAGTCAGAAAGCAAGGGAGTGAGTCAGAGAGCAGGGGAGTGAGTCAGAAAGCAGGGGAGTGAGTCAGAAAGCAAGGGAGTGAGTCAGAAAGCTGGGGAGTGAGTCAGAAAGCTGGGGAGTGAGTCAGAAAACAGGGGAGTGAGTCAAAAAGCTGGGGAGTGAGTCAGAAAGCAGGGGAGTGAGTCAGAAAGCAAGGGAGTGAATCAGAGAGCAGGGGAGGGAGTCAGAAAGCAGGGGAGTGAGTCAGAAAGCTGGGGAGTGAGTCAGAAAACAGGGGAGTGAGTCAAAAAGCTGGGGAGTGAGTCAGAAAGCAGGGGAGTGAGTCAGAAAGCAGGGGAGTGAGTCAGAAAGCAGGGGAGTGAGTCAGAAAGCAGGGGAGTGAGTCAGAAAGCAGGGGAGTGAGTCAGAAAGCAGGGGAGTGAGTCAGAAAGCAGGGGAGTGAGTCAGAAAGCAGGGGAGTGAGTCAGAAAACAGGGGAGTGAGTCAGAAAACAGGGGAGTGAGTCAGAAAACAGGGGAGTGAGTCAGAAAGCAGGGGAGTGAGTCAGAAAGCAGGGGAGTGAGTCAGAAAGCAGGGGAGTGAGTCAGAAAGCAGGGGAGTGAGTCAGAAAGCAGGGGAGTGAGTCAGAAAGCAGGAGAGTGAATCAGGAAGCAGGGGAGTGAGTCAGAAAGCAGGGGAGTGAGTCAGAAAGCAGGGGAGTGAGTCAGGAAGCAGGGGAGTGAATCAGGAAGCAGGGGAGTGAGTCAGAAAGCTGGGGAGTGAGTCAGAAAGCTGGGGAGTGAGTCAGGAAGCAGGGGAGTGAGTCAGGAAGCAGGAGAGTGAGTCAGGAAGCAGGAGAGTGAATCAGGAAGCAGGGGAGTGAGTCAGAAAGCAGGGGAGTGAGTCAGGAAGCAGGAGAGTGAGTCAGGAAGCAGGAGAGTGAATCAGGAAGCAGGGGAGTGAGTCAGGAAGCAGGAGAGTGAATCAGGAAGCAGGGGAGTGAGTCAGAAAGCAGGGGAGTGAGTCAGGAAGCAGGAGAGTGAATCAGGAAGCAGGGGAGTGAGTCAGGAAGCAGGAGAGTGAATCAGGAAGCAGGGGAGTGAGTCAGAAAGCAGGGGAGTGAGTCAGGAAGCAGGAGAGTGAATCAGAAAGCAGGGGAGTGAGTCAGAAAGCAGGAGAGTGAATCAGGAAGCAGGGGAGTGAGTCAGGAAGCAGGGGAGTGAGTCAGAAAGCAGGGGAGTGAATCAGGAAGCAGGGGAGTGAGTCAGAAAGCAGGGGAGTGAATCAGGAAGCAGGGGAGTGAATCAGGAAGCAGGGGAGTGAATCAGGAAGCAGGGGAGTGAATCAGGAAGCAGGGGAGTGAGTCAGAAAGCTGGGGTAGTGAGTTTTTTTTAGTAAAAATGAACATACAAACACAAACCCGACAAGTTGTCGGGTTTGAAATTAAATTATGAGTTTATTGTGAGTGTTGATGTGACGGCTCTGTTGACTCGAGTGCCTGTACACGACCTGTTGACATTCTTACATGCAGGATCTACTCCCTAAGTATAATTTAACTTTACCTACTAGCACCATTGGTGAACTAATAAGATTGGGCATTAAAGATAATTATTGCAGCTTTAATTATTCATTTTATAAGCAAACATTTGGCATGTCGATGGGTAATCCCCTCTCCCCTGTTTTAAGCAATTTGTACATGGAGTGTTCCGAAACAAATATCCTACCCGGGATTTTACCCCCGAATTTGGTTTGGTATAGGTACGTTGATATTTTATGTCTGTGGCCGGTCAATCTTTTTTTTTTTTTTTTTTTTTTGAGATATATACAAGAGTTGTTACATTCTTGTACAGCCACTAGTACGCGTAGCGTTTCGGGCAAGTCCTTAATCCTATGGTCCCTGGAATACGATCCCCTGTCGCGAAGAATCGTTTTTTTCATCCAAGTACACATTTTACTGTTGCGTTAAACAGAGGCTTCAGTTAAGGAATTGCGCCCAGTAAATCCTCCCCGGCCAGGATACGAACCCATGACATAGCGCTCGCGGAACGCCAGGCGAGTGTCTTACCACTATACCACGGAGACTGCTAAAGTATTATTCCCATTGGGTCGTTTGAACTCGCGACTTCCAAAACACCAGCCACACACCTTACCACCCAGCCACCATGGAGTTAAACATCTTGACCAAACTGATTTTCTCCTTCAACTTTATTCGCTGGTTTCGTCATTTAAATTCACAATTGAGAATTAAATGATTGGTGTTCTGCCTTTTTTTTTTTAAGACATCATGATTCATAGAATCGGCAGGAGTTTCAAATTCAGTGTTTATAGGAAACCTACTAATGTGTGTTCGTATGTTCATTTTTACTCAAATCATCCTATTCAGGTCAAGCGGGCAGTTTTTTTCTGGTACGTTTCTCAGAGCCTTGAGGGTTTGCAATCCGGAATTTTTTCACGAAGAAATAACGAATATATTTGAAATTGGGGAAAAGTTAAAATACCTAAAATCAGTATCGGATTTTGCCTTTGGTGAAGCAAAAAGGTCGTTCTACAAACAAGCTCCCAAGTCTAAACCATTTCATTATTTCATTTATTATACACCCCATACCCATCTTGTGGGCGGTAGTGGAAAGGGTTACAGAGGCACATAATGGGCTCAGGGACTGAACCCCACAATTCATTTAGCTAAGCAAGTTACAATCTTGATGAGCTAGTTACAAAATTCAATATAAGTCGTCACATCATCAATGGGTTTAAGATCAACCACAGGGGAAAATAGCTTTCGCGCTCCGAATTTACCTGAGTTTACCCGAGGCCCAATAATACACCAGAACTAAAAAACTCGTTGGTATTACCATATTTTGATGGTCAAGTACATCTTGCCCCAGCCCTGAAAAACCTTAATATTAACCTAGTGTTCAAAAACAATAATACAGTTAAGTCCATGTTAATTAAGAACTCTCCCTCGTCTGTAGCAGGTTGTGTGTACTCCATCCCTGGTAATGAGTGTGCATGTGTTTACATCGGCCAGACTGGCAAATCTCTCTCTTAACGTTTAAAACAACATTCATTTGCTATTCGTACAGCCCAGCACTCCAGTGCATTGTATTTGCATTCTAGTTTGTGCAGTCATTCTATCGACTTCAAAGGGGCAAAATGTATTGTTAAAAGTAAGGGTTTTGTTGAACGAAACGTGATCGAGTCCGCTCTGATCAAACACTGTAACAACAGCCTAGCTTAATGTGAGCCCTGGTATGTACAAGTTGGATCCCCATATAAGCCTCAATATAGCACGTCAGTAGAATATAGCATCCATTTAACCTGTATGACACTTTTATATATCTTCCAGTTCTGTTTATTAATGGGAGCTGCCTCGAATGGGTCAATGGGCCTTCTGCAATTACCGAAGGCGATGTAGCCGAAAACGAGTTTAGCATTCTTTATTTTTCACATGTGGTTTGAAAAGTGGTCATCCGCATATATATATAATATATATATATAATATATATATATATATATTATATGATATATATATATATATATATATATATATATATATATATATATATATATATATATATATATATATATATATATATAAAATATTTATATATATATAATTATTTTTTTACCTCACCTCGTATATTTATAATTTAAATTTATATAAACATCAAATGCAACAAGACACACAACGGAAAAGCTTATAAGAGAAGGAAGTTTTATCTCCACCGGACGTGTTGTTGATCTCTGTGAAGACCTGAGACCAGCCACGTCACTCAGTGGTCGCGTCGCCTCCCTCACTCACGCCACGCGCCTCCCTCACTCAACAACCTCATTCTACTCCTCTGCTCTTGAGGTAAGTATACGGATGTTATCAAATATGTATTTTTTCGTTGTGGTGTTGCAGTGTGGCCATCTTGGTTATGGTATTAGTTATGGGAGGTTCTTCTGGGCCAGCAGCACCTCTGAGTGCACCAGGCGGCCATGTTGGGGTCTCCTTACATCGCCATTTTGGCTTCCTTTTGTCGAGGACAGGAAGACATTTAGGCTTGTTTACGTTTTGTCCCGAGGGTCGAGTTTATTGGGCAGCGCCACTCATCCTGTGAGTGGACACACCGCCATAGTGACAGTATTGGGCAGCGCCACTCATCCTGTGAGTGGACACACCGCCATAGTGACAGTATTGGGCAGCGCCACTCATCCTGTGAGTGGACACACCGCCATAGTGACAGTATTGGGCAGCGCCACTCATCCTGTGAGTGGACACACCGCCATAGTGACAGTATTGGGCAGCGCCACTCATCCTGTGACTGGATACACCGCCATAGTGACAGTATTGGGCAGCGCCACTCATCCTGTGAGTGGATACACCGCCATAGTGACAGTATTGGGCAGCGCTACTGTTACGGCCACTATGGGCCAGTAACCGGGTTCTGGATGTTATAACCTCTTTTTCTATATCCGACCCCAAGTCGGTAGTAAGCTTTCAAGAAACTGGCTATATCAAGCAGTAGTGCAATGCATAAATAAAGGGGGGAGGATAAGCAAGACAATTCCCTTCACCAATATATTCACACCTTCACCATTAAACATATTTATAAATAGATTATTACTACACTTATGTACTAAACTGCCTCTTTCACTCAGGGCACAACACAATGACAGTGTTCATCAAGCCCAAGTGAACCCACATCCCAGGTACATGTTGTCCACTGGCAAACACTGGCGAGTTCACCTTCTACATGGGCCAGTCCACCCACACAGTATCACGATGTGTCTACACCCCTCCTTCGCTCTCCAGATACTCACTGGCAGAGGGCTTCAGCAACACGCTGACAAGGGTCTCAAACAATCAAGCACAGGGGTAGCAAACACCCTGGTAGAAGCCTCTAGCAGCTTGCTAGCAGCACTTCACAAATAGACACATCACTGTCTTCCTTAACCCTTATTAGCCAATCCCGGGTACGCCGATCTTCAACAACACTGCATATATCAGCAGCTAACACACTGCTCGGATCGACGGCGGGTACTTAGTCTTCTTGCAGGACCAAGCTAAGGGTTCGTGGACTGCCCAAGGTAAACTGCCCTCCTCAGCTCAATCGCCTCCATATGTCACCTCTGTGGACATAAAAACGTCATTAGCCAGATGGACAGTACACTGGGTAACCCTGGGGATAACATTCGTTCACCGGGGACTTGACATTGTGACTTGTAGCCACAACCTAGATGGCGTTGATCTTGATACGCCACCCACCAGAGGTCATCCACATCGACCTCCTCTTCTGACTGGGGCAGGAAACTGGAGCCTTCCACCGATACCACGCCACCACCAACAGATGGCGTTGTCTACATAGCGCCCAATACTAGGGGAGTTGGAGTGCAGACCCATAGATGGCGCTGAAATTGCCACTCCACACTCAGACGATGGTGTCGATACCGTAACATCCAAGAAAACTCGCTGGAATGTTCATCCTGTTACGTGCACCCAGACACAGCTGGGACTTGCTTAACTGTCTCAAGTGAACAGCTCCTCAAACAAGGAGATTAACATTTGTCAACACCTAATTAATAACTTTTGTTATCTTGCGGGTGCAAAATAGGAGAATCTTTTGAGAACAGCATTTATATTTAAGATAGTATTTTCCTAACTCAAACAATGTTGGGTTTACTGTACTACACACATTTCTAATAACTCTTAGATGTTCACATTCTCTCAGGTAGTGGTCATGGCGGTGTCCATCACTCTCACCACAAATTCTGCAACTCCACTGCTCAACTGTTGTTTCCATCCGAATTTCCATGGATATTTGTATCCAAGACGAATACTTGCTATTACTGATTCTCTCCCTCGTCCTCCGCCTCTTCGGCCATAATGATCGGGATTGCCAGCTGCAACCATGTTGTACCATCGTACAGATTCACTAGTTTGTACTTCTATCCTCCTCTCCTCAGTTACCTTGTCACGGTGATGTTGCCTGACAATACCTCTAATTTGTAGAGGAATCTTGGGTATGAAGTATTTAATATGGTCTCCGTCAACACCTTCAGTAGTCAGCACATCTGCTCGTTCTTTCCCACATATTCCAACATGGGAAGGGATCCACAGAAACTTGACGACTCTTCCCTGATTTGTTAGTACCCTCACAGCTCTCTTGATTTCAGCGACTATCGCAAGATTTTCTGCCCAATTTTATGAATTGGTGCAAATCACTGCACCGTTAGTGTTTTTTTCAAAGAATCTTAACGCCATAACAATGGTAGTTAACTCTGCTTGCGTTGAAGAGGCAAAAAGCAATATGTGCCTTTTCTTCACTTGCATTTTGAAAGGCATTATTCCCAATTACAGTGTATGCTGCACCAGCCCTGCCATTGACAGGATTAGATGACCCGTCAGTGTACATTTGATCTAATTAATTTCCGGCTTCTTTATAAAAAGCCCATGTAGGTGAAGGTCTTCCAGGTAGCAGACTGATCTGTGATGCCATTTTTTTCCATGTTTCCTCCTGTGAGCAGCATGGAACTCAATCTTTTATGGGTAATATCATTTTTAATTAAGTTAATTTAATATGCACCCCATACCCATCTTGTGGGCGGAAGTGGAAAGGGTTACAGAGGCAATATCATTGTAATGTGGATCTCTGGCTCTTCTTAATTGCAAGCTTAGCATTCAGTTCCCTGATTCTGCTTTTACTACTCGGGAGGGACAGCTCCTCTCGTAGATTAGATGTTTTGGCAGTTCTTGGGACTCCAAGAATGATTGTCATGGCTTCATTTTGTATGCTCTCAAGCATTTTCATATCGCTGTAGGAGTAGGTGCACAAAACTGGTGCGGCATAGTCTATGACGGAGCGCACATAGGCTGTGTACATCATTTTAAGCACGACAATAGAGGCGCCATGCCCATTCCAGGTCATGGCTTTCAGTGCCCTGAGTCGACTTTTGCATGTTCCTATAAGTTGGTTGAGCTCCTCTTTCTTCCCCTTGTTAGAGGCGAGAGTGACGCCATGGTACCAGTGCCTGGTTGAGTTATTTAGGCTTGCAGAGGTCCCCTACAGTATTAATAATAATAATAATAATAATAATAATAATAATAATAGAAGAATCAATAATAATAGAAACACTGTCAACTATTTTTATTACTTTATAATTTAAGTTATATTGTGCAGGTGTTGCTCGGAGTGGCAGATGACACCAGTGGTGCAGGATGCCAAGACTTTCATCACCTGGTGGGCGATGGTGCAGGTAGCTGGTTACAAGTTTACCACTATATGTACACAATCCTAATTACTCCTATATATATTTACCTAAATTTACCTGAGGGCCACTAACACTCTAGTGGCTTTGATGAGAACAGCAAGCCAATGACTTGTCAAAGGGCTCCCCCCCCCTTCCCCGCTTGCCCTTACGATTTTCTCCCTGGATTTTAAAATTTAACGGAGTTTTGGCATTGACGCCGTTATATATATATATATATATATATATATATATATATATATATATATATATATATATATATATATATATATATATATATATATATATATATATATGAGGGTACCACTTCTGGTGCCAATGTGAAGGGGCTCTCTTTCAGCTGGGCATCCAGCTGTGGTGAGGCTCCTCATGATGATGTCGTTAACTTCACTGTGCCTCGAGTGCCATCCCCCTGTGCTTTGGCAGAGTAGGCCGCCACAAATACACCTATATCTGGTGTGGATTGGGGCAGCAAGGTGGAGGGCCACAGCAATTCGGAGGGCGTGTGGTGTGAGACGCATGCCAGTTGCCGACATTGGGGTTGCTAACAGGAAATCCCCTGCATGTGGGGCTGCTACTGCTGTGAGGCGAGCAATGTCGTGTTTTGTTGCAGCACCCAGGCACTCTGCAGCAACTTGGTCTACAATGGGGACATCCCAGCTGGATTGCTTGTGGGCTTTCGGGGATGGTGGTTGAGGTGATGGGCCTGCACGAGAGGCCCACTCTGTGGCACAGCATGTGAAATTGGGATCATGTACACCTGCCAGCTGATGTAAGTAGGCAGGTAGAATTTCCTTGACAAGGTCGTCGGATGCCGATGAGGAGGACAGGAAGGCTGGAACAGCGATTTGCGTTGCGTTGCTGTTCGAACTCCGAGGCCCCTAAGTCTTACGGGAAGAGAGGCTTGTTTCCACTGTAGGTCATCAAGAGAGAGGTTAAGGGCTTTTTCTAGCACTGATTTCTGTAACAGGTCATACTCACTTAGTTTTTGGCTACTGTAGGATGGTGAACACCTCAGAGAGCAGGTCAGCCTGGGGAGGGACAGACATCTGGTGATGAGGTAGAGTGCATCATGAGCATCAATATCCTCAGTCCTCCCATCCATCCTCTTAAGGTCGGCGATTTTCTTATCACGGACCTCATCGATGGCTTTTAAACCGGTGGGGGGGGGGGGACTCCTAGGAGTGTGCTGTCTTCAGGTTTAGTTTTATGGATATTTGGCAGAAGACCCTCTATTCTCTCTACGATGCCCAGGTTGGAACATATTATTTCACATTTAGAAGGGTTCAGGGTGAGGCCTAAAACTGCACCTTGCTCCTGGATTTTTCTGATGTCCTCCAGGAGTTAGTCTTGGGAACCAGCTAGGGTACCATCATCCAAGAACCAGATGTTAAGCTCGCTGGACAGGACCTCTGTGACTTGTTTGATGACTAAGCAGAAAAGGAGAGGAGCAAGGGGGTCACCCTGTTGGACGCCTTCTCGCGAGTCAATTTCATGTTCACCAAAAAGTAGCTTTAGATGTCCGCTCTATTACTATTACATACTGTAGCATGAATGTACAAAAGGTACAATGAATGAATGTACAATGTAGATGATGTTGGTTTCTTTCAAGGCGTTCTGTTTGGTGTCTGGAGAGTTCTTCATGAGTAGGTTAGCCGTTTTCTTGTTTTTGTAGTAAATTGTTAATTGTATCTTCTGATTTGTGTCTCCGGGGATAACGTTCCTATTAATAATACCTTTCAGGACACTTTCCTCCGTTTTATGAGCCATCGAAAAGAAGTTCCTGTAAAATAATTTAATAGGAGGTACAGGTGTTGTGTTAGTTGACTCTTCAGAAGTTGCATGGTGTGTCACCTTTCTTTTAATGACATCTTCAACATAACCGTTAGAGAAGCCATTGTTGACTAGGACCTGCCTTACTCTACAGAGTTCCTCGTCGACCTGCTTCCAACCAGAGCTGTGAGTGAGAGCTCGGTCGACGAAAGCACTAACAACACTCCTCTTGTACCTGTCTGGGCAGTCACTGTTGGCATTAAGGCACATTCCTATGTTCGTTTCCTTAGTGTAGACTGCAGTGTGGAAGCCACCATTCCTTTCCGTGACTGCTACATCTAGAAAGGGCAGCCTCCCATCACTCCTCATCTCGTAAGTGAAACTCAACACCGAATTTTGCTCGAATGTCTCCTTCAGCTGAAGGTGGCATTTTTACCCCCCCCCCCAAGGTTTTTTATATTACCAAATAACTACAATGTAAGTTGACAGAGGTGATTTCACTGGTAAGGATATATGTCTTAAGTACTAACATTGGGGAAGTGGGTAGTACAAGATACAGTGTGAGTTTGAAGCACAGGTAGGCTACAGATAGTTATGAATATCTGTTTCATATGGACACAGATGACACTTACCTCCGTCATCTTTACAGGAAAAACCAAGTCTGCTGCCAAAGGCCAAACAGAAGTTAGGATCCTGGAGACTCCAGGATGAGCACTTCAAGGTACAAGTTTCTACTGTAATTGTAGTCAAGGTGTGTCAGCTGCCTTGTCGGCTTGTTTGGTGATGGGTCTCAACCTCTGGAAGGTATCAAGGCACACCTCCACGATACACCTTTCTGACTATACTACGAAGCAAGTATACCTTAGATCTAGATATAATCCAGAACATAACGCTCATTGTATTAGGCGTGTAGACAAAAATCACACAGTAATTCTTCTATTGCCGTGTAATATCCAATATTGAAAATAATTGTGCGTATGAACAATAATAATAATGTTTATTCAGGAAAAAGTACACGCAATAAGTACACACAAAGTACACAAGTACATACAAAATGAGTTATAAATAGAATGTTTGATTTTTAAATAGAGCTAGTGGTTAGTAACTTTAGAAAGTTAGTAACTTTAGAAAGTTAGTAACTTTAGAAAGTTAGTAATTTTCAAATGCCCAAAGCCTAGTACGCAAAGCGTTTCGGGAAAGATGTCGAAAAACACTTAAAAAATAAGACAAACTAATTGAGTTCAAAAGAATGAATTGAACTGAAAAAGGGAAAAAAGAATGGCAATAGCTATACCTTGGATGAACAGCAGAAATTGCAACAGATCAGCAGAATTATTTTAACTAACTAAACAGACTACAATTTTTGTATACAAGTTTTTGTACACCTGGAAGATATCAGGAGTTATACAAGTTGGTCAATAATCAGTATTGTTTGAATATAGCAAGACAAAAGTTGGCATTTAGGAAATAAGGGAGTTTTTGTTGACCAAACCACACACTAGAAATTGAAGAGACGACGACGTTTCGGTCCGTCCTGGACCATGAAGAAGTCGATGGTGACTCTCTATTACTCCCTCATCTATCCTTATCTCAACTATGGTATTTGTGCTTGGAGTTCTACTACACAAAATCATTTACGTCCTATAATTACTCAACACAAAGCTGCTATTAGGACAATATCTAACTCTGGCCCCAGACAGCACTCGGTACCCTTACTTAAATCTTTGAATATGTTAGATATTAAGTACTGCACATCTTCTCATGTGTACTCTATATATTTAAAACTCTGAACTGTAATGTCAATCCTGGCCTTAAAAGCTTCCTTGAAGGTTGTAACAGAACCCATGAGCACCACGCTAGAAACAAATACCTATTTGATATTCCAAGAGTACGACTTAGTCAAACTAGAAATACTCTACAACTCAAGGGACCCAGAATGTGGAATGACCTTCCCAATCACGTCAAAGGCTGTACCTCTCTCAACCAGTTTAATTTAAGAGAAAACTAAATATTACCTAATCAACGCCATGTAACCTACCTTACCCCTAAATGTCAACCAATGTCTTGCTATTTTCAAACAATAATAAATGAACTAAACTAAAAAAACTACTGTTTGTTGACCAACTTGTATAATCGCTGTTTTCTGCCATGTTCATTATTTTTTTTTTCCTTTTTTTCAATACAATTTATACTTTAATCTCAATTAATATTAAGTTCTAGCCTAAGTATTTTTTTCCACATCTTGCCCGAAACGTTGTGCGTATTAGTGGCTATAAGTATTGTATGTACTAGTGTATGTACTAGCTCTATCTCTAAATCCAACATTATGTTTGTAACTCATCTATGTATGTACTGTAACCTGAATACACATTGATTTGATACGAGGGAGGGACGACCATTAAGTAGGCAAGAGAGAGGCGAGGAGACGGAAATCTTAGAGGAAAATATGAGCAAGGCAAAAAGGACGGAAGTATATGGCGCAATAAAGGATGTAATAATAGGAATAAGAAAGGGATCGGAAAGGAAAACAAGAGAAAGAAATATGAAAGGAAGGGTAGCCTAATGTTAGGTCATGTTTGTTAGAGAGTTTAGAACATATAGAACATCCGCTCACAGGATGAGTATGTGGTGTACAATAACAGCTCACAGCATGAGTATGTGGTGTACAATAACAGCTCACAGCATGAGTATGTGGTGTACGATAACAGCTCACAGCATGAGTATGTGGTGTACGATAACAGCTCACAGCATGAGTATGTGGTGTACAATAACAGCTCACAGCATGAATATGTGGTGTACAATAACAGCTCACAGCATGAGTATGTGGTGTACAATAACAGCTCACAGCATGAGTATGTGGTGTACAATAACAGCTCACAGCATGAATATGTGGTGTACAATAACAGCTCACAGCATGAGTATGTGGTGTACAATAACAGCTCACAGCATGAGTATGTGGTGTACAATAACAGCTCACAGCATGAGTATGTGGTGTACAATAACAGCTCACAGCATGAGTATGTGGTGTACAATAACAGCTCACAGCATGAGTATGTGGTGTACAATAACAGCTCACAACATGAGTATGTGGTGTACAATAACAGCTCACAGCATGAGTATGTGGTGTACAATAACAGCTCACAGCATGAGTATGTGGTGTACAATAACCACTCACAGCATGAGTATGTGGTGTACAATAACAGCTCACAGCATGAATATGTGGTGTACAATAACAGCTCACAGCATGAGTATGTGGTGTACAATAACAGCTCACAGCATGAGTATGTGGTGTACAATAACAGCTCACAGCATGAATATGTGGTGTACAATAACAGCTCACAGCATGAGTATGTGGTGTACAATAACAGCTCACAGCATGAGTATGTGGTGTACAATAACAGCTCACAGCATGAGTATGTGGTGTACAATAACAGCTCACAGCATGAGTATGTGGTGTACAATAACAGCTCACAGCATGAGTATGTGGTGTACAATAACAGCTCACAACATGAGTATGTGGTGTACAATAACAGCTCACAGCATGAGTATGTGGTGTACAATAACAGCTCACAGCATGAGTATGTGGTGTACAATAACCACTCACAGCATGAGTATGTGGTGTACAATAACAGCTCACAGCATGAGTATGTGGTGTACAATAACCACTCACAGCATGAGTATGTGGTGTACAATAACAGCTCACAGCATGAGTATGTGGTGTACAATAACCACTCACAGCATGAGTATGTGGTGTACAATAACAGCTCACAGCATGAGTATGTGGTGTACAATAACAGCTCACAGCATGAGTATGTGGTGTACAATAACCGTCTCGTGATGATCTGGATTATTAGTAGGACAGAAAACATCAGTTTTCTTCCCTCCTGTCACAGCTCCGTCCATAACCTCTGTCCATAGTCTCCGTTCATGAACCTCTGGGAACCGCCTACCCGCCGAAGCCGTAAATACCAAACCAATAACTCAGTTCATGATCTAGCCAGGACAAATGGGCGGGGGGGAGGGGGGGAAGGATCCTTTGACAAGCCGCCGACTTCCTGTCCTCACGGGGGGCCACTAGAGAGATAGAGCCCACTGGGGTAATTTCAGGTAAATATTAGGTTGGGTTGCCAGTATACAGTTCCAGGAGGCCCAGGTAGGTGGAGGGAGGGCTACCTGTACCCTCTACCCGCGGGCCACTGTTTGTGGTCACCTCCACGGGGACAGAAAGCCCGCGGCTTGTCAATGGTGCCTTCACAGGCAAGGTCTTACCAAAGACATACTTGGAAAGTATGTCTTACCAAAGACATACTTGGAAAGTATGTCTCACCACACACACACACAAGGAAGGTCTCACTACATACACACACAAGGAAGGTCTCACTACATACACACACAAGGAAGGTCTCACCACACACACACACAAGGAAGGTCTCACCACACACACACAAGGAAGGTCTCACCACACACACAAGGAAGGTCTCACCACACACACACACAAGGACGGTCTCACCACACACACACAAGGAAGGTCTCACCACACACACACAAGGAAGGTCTCACCACACACACACAAGGAAGGTCTCACCACACACACACACAAGGAAGGTCTTACCACACACACACACACACAAGGAAGGTCTCACCACACACACACACAAGGAAGGTCTCACCACACACACACACACACAAGGAAGGTCTCACCACACACACACACACACACACAAGGAAGGTCTCACCACACACACACACAAGGAAGGTCTCACCACACACACACACAAGGAAGGTCTCACCACACACACACACAAGGAAGGTCTCACCACACACACACACAAGGAAGGTCTCACTACACACACACACAGAAGGTCTCAGCACACACACACAAGGAAGGTCTCACCACACACACACACACACACACACAAGGAAGGTCTTACCACACACACACACACACACAAGGAAGGTCTCACCACACACACACAAGGAAGGTCTCACCACACACACACACACACACAAGGAAGGTCTCACCACACACACACACACACACAAGGAAGGTCTCACCACACACACACACAAGGAAGGTCTCACCACACACACACGCACAATGAAGGTCTCACCACACACACACAAGGAAGGTCTCACCACACACACACACACACACAAGGAAGGTCTCACCACACACACACACACACACACAAGGAAGGTCTCACCACACACACACAAGGAAGTTCTTACCACACACACACACACACACACACACACACACACACACACACACACACACACACACACACACACACACACACACACACACACAAGGAAGGTCTCACCACACACACACAAGGAAGGTCTCACCACACACACACACAAGGAAGGTCTCACACCACACACACAAGGAAGGTCTCACCACACACACGCACAAGGAAGGTCTCACCACACACACACAAGGAAGGTCTCACCACACACACACAAGGAAGGTCTCACCACACACACACAAGGAAGGTCTCACCACACACACACACAAGGAAGGTCTCACCACACAGACAAGGAAGGTCTCACCACACACACAAGAAAGGTCTCACCACACACACACACACACACACACACACACACACACACACACACACACACACACACACACACACACACACACACACACACAAGGAAGGTCTCACCACACACACAAGGAAGGTCTCACCACACACACAAGGAAGGTCTCACCACACACACACACAAGGAAGGTCTCACCACACACACACAAGGAAGGTCTCACCACACACACACAAGGAAGGTCTCACCACACACACATCTTACAGCCGGGAGCGTGGGAGGCGACGGTGGGGCTGGCCCTGCAGACCTCGCCGGAGTCTGCTAACATAAGTCTGACGGAGGACTGCCCCTGGGAGCTGCCGGGCCTCCTGCCCGTCATCCAGGCTCTGAGGAAGGTGAGTGATGGCGGGGAACTGTTCACGACACACCTGCTATGGTCTCTGAGAGAGAGAGAGAGTGAGAGAGAGAGAGAGAGAGAGAGAGAGAGAGAGAGAGAGAGAGAGAGGGAGGGGGAGGGAGAGGGAGAGGGAGAGGGAGAGGGAGAGGGGGAGGGAGAGGGAGAGGGAGAGTGAGAGTGAGTGAGTGAGTGAGTGAGTGAGTGAGTGAGTGAGTGAGTGAGTGAGTGAGTGAGAGAGTGAGAGAGTGAGAGAGTGAGAGAGTGAGAGAGTGAGAGAGTGAGAGAGTGAGAGAGTGAGAGAGTGAGAGAGTGAGAGAGAGGGGAGAGGAAAACCTAGACAGACTGAATGAATGGTCCAACAAACGGCTACTAAAGTTCAACCCGAGTAAATGTAAAGTAATGAAACTAGGCGGTGGAAAAAGGAGGATACCGAATAGGAGATGAAGTACTTAATGAATCGGACAAAGAGAAAAATCATCTTGGAGCTGATATCACATTAAACCTGTCTCCTGAAGCCCACATAAATTGAATAACATCTGCGGCATATGCGAGGCTGGCTAACATCAGAACTGCCTTCAGGAACCTGTGTAAGAAATCATTCAGTACCTTGTATACCACATATGTAAGACCCATCCTGGAGTATGCGGCCCCAGCATGGTGCCCGTATCTTGTCAAGCACAAGACGAAGATGGAAAAAGTTCAGAGGTATGCCACTAGACTAGTCCAAGAATTAAGAGGCATGAGTTACGAGGAAAGGCTGCGTGAAATGCACCTCACGACACTGGAAGACAGAGGAGTAAGGGGAGACATGATCACTACCTACAAAATTCTCAGAGGAATTGACAGGGATAAAGATAAACTGTTTAATACGGGTGGAACGCAAACAAGGGAATATAGGTGGAAACTGAGTACTCATGTGAGCCACAGGGACGTTAGAAAGAACTTTTTCAGTGTCAGAGTAGTTAACAGGTGGAATGCATTAGCCAGTGATGTGGTGGAGGCTGACTCCATACACAGTTTCAAGTGTAGATATGATAGAGCCCAGTAGGCTCAAGAACCTTGTACACCAGTTGATTGATGGTTGAGAGGCGGGACCAAAGAACCAGAGCTCAACCACCGCAAGCACAATTAGGTGAGTACCCACAAATACTCGTCTATTTATGCCTGCAGGTTCCAGCATCTGCTTTGACCTCTAAATGTCAACCCATGTCCTACTATTTTTAAACAATGTTGTTTGTTGACCAACTTGTATATTGGCTATTTTTTTACCATGTTCCCCCTTTTTACCTTTTATTTTCTTTTTTTTCAACGAAATTTATACTTTAAGCTCAATTACTATTAAGTTTCAGTTTAAGTGTTTTTCCCACCTCACCTTGCCCGAAAACGCTATGCGTACTAGTGGCTTTAGGTACTGTATGTACTACCTCTAACTTTAAATCCAACATTATGTTTGTAAATCAACTATGTATGTACTTTCCTGAATAAAATTTACTTTACTTTACTTTACTTTACTTAAGATAAAAACAAAACAAAAATTTAAGGGAGAGTGAGTTTGAGGAGAGAAAAAGTTTTTAATTTTTTTACGAATCAGCAGATTCAATCCACATCCACAAGCATTTATTATTACAGGTTAGCTGTACATTTGTGGCTGAGTGGCGTCGAGAGTGGTTTCTGGGGGAGGAAGGCAGCCTGACGCCGTGCACAGCTGCCCTCCTGCAGTGTTCCAGACCTTCTACAGTAGCGGTGACCCTCTCTGACGACCAGCACTCCACCTCCCTCCCCGCGCTCCCCTCCATCACCGTCTGCCTTGCAGGAACCTCCTGCTCCCTGAGCCTCATGTTGGAGGGCGACTACGTGGCCAGCAACGACACCACCACATCCGACTACCTCCTCCTACCCTGCCTGAAGGCCCGCTCCCGCGTCAGGCTGCGGAGGCTGGCGTGTCACTTGGGCGTGGAGGCCGCTATCCAGTTTTTCCAGGAAGAGGCCGGCCATGGTAGTTCAGACGAGGACTTCCCCGATGTGAGGCACAGAACTCTTTACCATGCCACGGCTTCCATACGCTACCTGGAAACTCTCAAGGTGAGGATATCTTCCCTGGATGTCCTGGTGGCCCTCAACCGGACCTTACCCCACCTGGAACTCCTCGATGACCTGGATGTGTACCTCACCCTTCAAGGCCTCGTCTCATCCGATGACATTCCCCAGCTCGCCTACACCAAGGATCGCCTGACGCTGCGCCTTGATGGGATTACTGATGCTCGCGCAGTGTGGGCGGGAAAGGTGACGGCCGCCCTCAGCCGGCAATACGCCCACGTGTGGCTCAGCAAGTGCCACATGACGGCCGTGGGCGGGGCAGTGTTCCTGGATCACCTCACGTGGGGTCAGACGCTGGTGGGCGCCGTTCATGTCTTCGCTCTGTCTGGCCGACCCAACCCACAAGAGTTCTCCGCCCTCACCACCCGCGCCGCCCAGCTCCCCAACCATACCGCCCTCTACTGGTAGTTAACCCCGTACATGTTCACATCATCAGGTCGCCAGGACAGCACCACCAGTCGTCTCTTGCAAGAAGCGATGGACTTTATCTGTCAGCTTCATATATTTTATTTTAATCACTGTTCCTTCGACCTTGAAATTATTGAACAATTATATTTTCCTACTAATTGATATATTAAAATATTATATTTATTAATTATAATTATTATATATTAATTATATAATAATAATTATATGTAATTATAAATATATTAAAATAAATAAATATTAAAATAAAATATTGTTAAAATGTTGGACCTTCGACAAGCCGCCGGCTTCCTGTCCTCATCGAGGCCACTCGAGTTAGTGGCTTCCAGGTAAACTCATTAACTGTTGTATTCCTGAAACAAATTTATGCGTATTCTAAAAGAATTGATACGAGAATCATGCATACATTATTTAGAAGGACTTCGGAATAATGTATGGGAATCTGACTCTTCTGAATCTCCCAATGGTGAACATTCCAATTGTAAACTATGAGAACAAGAGCTGGGACATCCTCCAACACTATATCTGTGATTGTCCTGTTATCAATGACTTCAGACCAAGTGGTATGAGGTACTTTGAGCTCTGTAATTACTTCATACACTCAGGAATATTGGAAGATATTCTTGTTTTGTACCCAGATTTGGTTAGTGGGGGCTAATAGATCAATCAGCGTTACATTTCATGTTCTCTCCTGATTCCATGTATGACTGGCCGTCCTGTGAGGTGGGGATGTTGGATGAGCTTGTAGTCAGTATTTTATCTACACCGTGTAATCTTTCATAGAGAAGAGGGTAGCAGCACATTAATGCTGTGTATACCTAAGATCTACACCGTGTAATCTTTCATAGAGAAGAGGGTAGCAGCACATTAATGCTGTGTATACCTAAGATCTACACCGTGTAATCTTCCATAGAGAAGAGGGCAGCAGCACATTAATGCTGTGTATACCTAAGATCTACACCGTGTAATCTTTCATAGAGAAGAGGGTAGCAGCACATTAATGCTGTGTATACCTAAGATCTACACCGTGTAATCTTTCATAGAGAAGAGGGTAGCAGCACATTAATGCTGTGTATACCTAAGATCTACACCGTGTAATCTTCCATAGAGAAGAGGGCAGCAGCACATTAATGCTGTGTATACCTAAGATCTACACCGTGTAATCTTTCATAGAGAAGAGGGTAGCAGCACATTAATGCTGTGTATACCTAAGATCTACACCGTGTAATCTTTCATAGAGAAGAGGGTAGCAGCACATTAATGCTGTGTATACCTAAGTTTGTTAAAATATAAAAAACGACATTATTTGAGAGGAATAAAAACTGTTAAAAAATAATTATAATAAAATATTTCCTTGATTCGGTGCTTTCTCTTATGAAAATCATTAAGTTACTCTTTAGTCAAATGTAATTTATTTTTTGTATTGAGGCAGGAAATTTCTCTCCTGATTCCATGTATAAGATAAGATAAGATGTTTATTCAGGTAAAGGTATATCAATGAAAATGAGTTACAAACATAAATGTTGGATTTATAGAGCTAGTGCATACAGTGTCTGAAGGCACTAACACGCACAGCGTTTCTGGTAAGGTGTGGGGAAAAAACTTAAACTAAAACTTAATATTAATTGAGATCAAAAGCATACATTGATTTGAAAAAAGAAATAAATTAAAAAGATAATGATAATATGATGGATAGAACAGCAGAAATGCAACAGAACAGCAGAAGGAATTTTAACTAAATAGAAAATAACAATTTTGTATGAATTTTTGCATTACAATTTTTGATGATATGACTAACCATCCTGTGAGATGGGTATAGTAGATGAACTTATAGCTAGTTTTTTACAATACAATACAATACAATACAATTTTATTTAGGTAAGGTACATACATACAATAAATTTTTACAAGGATTGGTAGACTTATAGGTAGAGCTAGTACATACAATGCCTAAAGCCACTATTACGCAAAGCGTTTCGGGCATTCTATCTAGACTGTGTAATCTGTCATATAGAATAGGGTAGCAGCCCATTGCTTTGTATACTTAAGATTGGTAATAAACAAAATGTATAAAAAAAATAAAAAAATCATGTTTCAGAGGAAGGGAGGAAGAGAATAAGTGTGTAGCGAGTAAACATTATACTCGCTCCAATCTCTCATTACAATAATGACAAACTCAATTAGCACTAATTGCAAAGCTATAATTTTTTCCATAATTACAGGTAACATTCTTTTCATCCTATTGGGAGGAAGCTGAGGTGTAGTCCAAAAATATAAGCATTGAGAAGTGAATAGCCAACAATAGTTACAGCCCCACTCCTGTGCCAGGTAAGTCCACTACGGGCTCACCATAGCCCGTGCTACTTGGAACGTTTTGTTCCCAGTGTAACGGGGGGTAGAGGAAATGGCTCTCTCTTGTCCATTATTCCGCCCTCAGTTAACTAACGAGGTCGGGGAAAACAGCTCTCTTTAGTCTGTTATCCCATCCTCAGTCAGCTAACTATTCTAGAGCACCCCCAGAGTTCCTATGGCAGCCTCTCTCGTTCAACACCTTGTAACCTAGGTATTTGACTACCTAGGTGCTACGACTACAAGGCGCCGTAACTTGATCAGCTACCCGAAACTCTAGAGAACACATTTCATTGCCACAAACGTATAAGAGAAACGAAAGGGAAGAGATGAATAATGAAGTAATTAGTGAGGGTTTTGGGGTGAAAGAGGTAGAGAGGTGGGAGGAGCGAGGAGGGTCGTCAGTTGACAGGGAGAGTTTGGAGAGGGAGAGGAGTAGATAGGTAGAAGTAGATAGTAGAAGTAGAAGAGTAGATAGTAGAAGAAGAAATGCTGCCACCATCCATTCAAGACCATTACCTACAAGACAAGGAATGGAACTTGTCTGTATCACAATATTCTCAAAGATGTTATCAAGAGGTCATTATTAGTCTGTTCCATCTGTATCATGTACCCATTAAAATCATGAACCCAGTAACCGCAGAGGCTTTCTCATCTCAACTCAAAAAGCTCTAGGGAACAAAGTCAAAGACAATTTAAACAATAAATTCATCAATTATATTTCACATGATAAGTATCACAATTTAAGCAATTGAACTTAATGTTCAAGATTAATATACAAAGTGAGTCATTATCCAAGAATTCGAGAACCCTACAACTTGACTGCCCCTGATCCTCACACAACACTTGTAAACACGACCAAGTCACCTTTCATGCTCAACTCACCAAGTGTCTGCCTATAGCTGGATAGAGAGGGAGGGAAGGATGGTCTGTAGTTGACAGAGACGGTCCCGCCCCTTCTGGCTGACAGCCTCTCTGGCTAGGCTGTTCTCTGCTCTGCTCTGCTGGCTCGTCTCCTATTCCTTATCCTCCAGAATCTACAGCTCCCTCAGTATATATTGGGAAACCTAGTAGCTAACTCCGCCCACAAGTAGATAGCCTCAGGTTCTCTACCAAACCACTCCTTAAAGTCAGCATGTTTGACGGACCTACCTGGCTACAATTATCAGATTAGCGGAAGCAAGGTGAAATTCGCATGAGCTGACGTCAGGTCAACTTGAGGTCATTAACGCTTAGAGGTGTGAGTTTCAGGCCGACAAACTGGCGCCTCTCAAATCCTTATTTGTGACTCATGAATTATATGTATATATTAAATAAAACTAAACCAAACACCTTTACGGTGTTACACCAGTAGCTGAATCTTGAACAACAACAACGAATAGCCAACAGTACAATTTCCAGTGACTCAGATAACTTCAGTTCATATGCTTTGGATTTACTACCTCTTCAAACTCAAGAATGTAGCACTCGGCGTATGCAGTCCTAATCGACCCCAAGACGCTACAACTTTGACACAGTGCAGACAGCAGACTACAACCGCATCGAGCTACAACGCTCTCGCTCCCCATCAAATTTAGACACTCACGATTCCCCATCGAATTTAGACACTCACGATTCCCCATCGAGCCGCCACACTCTCCCGCATAGAGCTCCTTGACTCACTCAGCTCTCTGCTCTGCTCGAAGCTCCGTCTCAACGTCCACGACACTGCTGTATCCAGGACTACTAAATAAATATGAAATCCCACTAAACACTGTGTATTTATTTATTTATTTTATTTATTTATTTATTTATCATAGCATAGTATTTACAATCTTGTAAAGCCACTAGTACGCACAGTGTTTCGGGCAGGTCCTTAATCTAACAGATAATTTTAAGTAGGTAAATTCTAGCAGAATTAATAAAATGATAACAGATACATTGCAAGAAAAAAATGAGATGAGAGAGAACAGTAAGTATATTAAAGCACATTGGTATATTAAAGCTCTGGTTGATTACATTGACAACTTGATTGGTAATTTAAACAAGATTAACAGACACCGTACAGCAGATTGATAGCACATATAAGAAGACAGCAATGATCAAAATGGTAAAGATGTTCGGATTGGGTACATAAAGATTGGGAGATTGGGTAGCAATAGATACAGTGCAATTTTAAAGCAACAAGGTAAAAAAACTATGCAAATGAGATTAGGTACTTTTTAGTTTTGTTTTTGAATGACGCAAAAGTTGGACAGCTTTTCAATTCATTAGGGAGTGAGTTCCATAGACTGGGTCCCTTTATTTGCATAGAGTGTTTACACAGATTAAGTTTGACTGGGGATATCAAAGAGATATTTATTTCTGGTGTGGTGATAATGGGTCCTATTACATCTGTCCAGGGAGAGTTTCAGAGCAGGATTTGCGTTTAAGAACAGGGTTTTGTAAATGTAATTGACACAAGAAAATTTGTGGAGTGAGATTATGTTTAGCATGTTAAGGGAGTTAAACAAGGGGGCTGAGTGTTGGCTGAAAGCAGAATTTGTTATTATTCTGATAGCAGATTTTTGCTGGGTGATGATGGGCTTAAGGTGGTTTGCAGTGGTTGAACCCCATGCACAGATACCATAATTAAGATAGGGGTAGATTAGTGCATAATATAGAGAGCAGAGTTAGGTACATAATATAATAATAATAATAATTATTATTTAGGTAAAGGTACATACATAAAGAGATTTTACAAAGTTTGTTGGCTTTATAGATAGAGCTAGTACATACAATGCCTAAAGCCACTATTACGCAAAGCGTTTCGGACAAAATATCTGATTTTGGAGAGTATCCCAACTGTTTTAGAGACTTTCTTAGTTATGTGTTGTATGTGGGTCATGTGTTGTATGTTGGGTCATGTATAATAATAATAATAAATAAATGTTTATTTTGGTAAGGTACATACATACAAGAGATTTTACAAAGAGTGATGGATTTATAGATAGAGCTAGTACATACAATGCCTAAAGCCACTATTACGCAAAGCGTTTCGGGCATGAAAAACTTAAATGACTAAAGCTTAATACTAATTGAGCATAAAGAATAAAATGAGTTGAGAACAAATAAAAAAAGATATAAAAAGGGGGGAACATGGCTGAAAAGCAGCACAAATACAATTCGGTCGACAAACAGCGTCATTTAAAAAACACACACATGGGTTTACAATAGAGGGGTAAGGTAGGTTACAGGGAATTTATTAGGTATAGCTTCGTTTTTATCTTAAACTGGTTGAGAGAGGTACAGTCTTTAACATGGTTGGGAATGTCATTCCACATTCTGGGTCCCTTGATTTGTAGAGCATTTCTAGTTTGATTAAGTCGTACTCTTGGAATATCAAAACTGTATTTATTTCTGGTGTGGTGCTCATGGGTTCTGTTACAACCTTCTATGAAGCTTTTGAGGTCAGGATTGGCATTACAGTTCAGCGTTTTATATATGTATAATACACATGAGAGAATGTGCAGTGACTTAATATCTAACATATTCAGAGATTTGAGAAGGGGTACCGAGTGATGTCTGGGGCCAGAGTTGGATATTGTCCTAATAGCAGCTTTGTGTTGAGTAATTAGAGGACGTAAATGGTTTTGGGTAGTAGAACCTCAAGCACAAATACCATAGTTGAGATAAGGATAGATGAGGGAGTAATAGAGAGTCACCAGGGCAGGGCGAGGTACATAATATCTGATCTTAGAAAGAATGCCAACAGTTTTTGAAACTTTTTTTTATATATTTAGAATGTGTCCCTGGAAATTCAGCTTGTGGTCATTGAGAACGCCAAGGAATTTGCCATCTAATTTGTTACAAATTTGGGTATTGTTTATTTTGAGATTTATTTGATTAGAGGATTTATTGCCAAACAGAATATAGAAAGTTTTGTCAATGTTAAGGGTGAGTTTGTTGGCAGTTAGCCAAAGATGGACTTTATTTAGCTCAGTATTTACTGTGGCATTTAGAGCAAAGGGGTCAGGACTGGAGTAAATGAAGGTTGTGTCGTCAGCAAATAGAATTGGTTTGAGGTGTTGGGAGTGTGTGTGTCTTTCTTAGTTATGTATTGTATAATCGTACGTTACAAGTGAAAGTGAGAGAGTAAAGGCAGCAAGGAGTGAGTGAGTGTGAGCGGAAGTGAGAGGAGTGCGACAGAGTGATGTGAGTTTTAGTTTTTAGTTTAGTTCACATATTATGCACCCCATACCCATCGTGTGGGCGGTAGTGGAAGGGGTTACAGAGGTACATAATGGTGATGTGTGGAGTGATGTGATTGTAGATGAGGGAATTGAAGGAGAGTTAAATAATTAATAAATCATTGATATTGACATTTAAATAAAATTATATTCCTAGCATCATCATCATCACCAATGATTTAAATCCAAAAGCATCTATAATTTTAGAAAAAAACAAACTTCCTATTTTATACTAGAATTCATGTGTAGTTCACAGTTTCATTGAGTGTTAAATTATCCGATGTACTACAAACACCCCAAAATTGTTGCAAAACCCAATACACTTTCCAATAAATAAATACCAAAATCAATAAGGGCGCAAGCTTCTGCTCACTTGTTTATGAACAATAACAAACAGACGCTTTGGCTTTAACGCTGGACCCTGGCTGCTTCTCCTTCATATATGGCGGGTTTATTAAGCTAAAGTAAGTCAACTTGCAAGTTTTCCAGTCACAGGGTGTGTGTTTCGTCACTATATAATTCGGAACGATAACTAGCTGCCGGAGATTATGGAGGAGAGCTAGAAATACGAGTTGTTTGGGTCACTCCTCTTGCTGGACCTTTAAATCTGTTTACATAGAAGATGTCAACATTAATGAAGACTTCACGCTGGAACTCCAAGCTCGACCTCGGGATGTGGGGGAGGTCTGCCCCGTCTGGGAGCCAACGGAAGGCGTAGACAATTATAATTGCCTGCTTGGGGCCTTGTTTTTCGGGCTTTCGGCAAAAGTCAAATAGTTATTGTCGTAAGATTAAACAAAACTTGACTGTCGAGGGGTACGCTGGATGCCTTTATGCTGTACACTTCATTCACCTGGGCTGTAGGAGTCTCGAACAGTGGACCCCACGTGTGTAAGGCCGATTTTTTTTTTTACCAGTACAGTACTCGCCTAGTTGTGCTTTCGGTAGTTGAGCTCTGGCTCTTTGGTCTATACTTTTACTACAGAACCAATAGTCATTCAGACAGTGTATACTGTCTGAGGCATTCAGGTGTGCGTAGTGTAGTATATACTGTCTGGGGCATTCAGGTGTGTGTAGTGTAGTATATACTGTCTGGGGCATTCAAGTGTGCATAGTGTTGTATATACTGTCTGGGCCATTCAGGTGTGTGTATTGTACTAGTGTGACATGGCTCTGGGGTCAGAGGGGCCCAGCATCTGCCTTACTACAAGAGGTTGGTAGACACTTGATCTTAGCTGATGGTGTGGATTCCTGCTACAAGGTGTACATCTTTTATTTTTTGATGTTGTCAGGTGTTATTATATTTTTTAGGGAAAATTTTATTCCTGTTTTGGATCTAATTTTACTTTGGGTTTCAAAACAGAAAGGTAACATTGGCACCTGCAGTTTATGCCCCTAACTCAACTATGCAAGCAACAATCCTTCATGAGGACATTATGTTGTCTTACATGAAGTGTTTCGTGTGTGTGTGTGTGTGTGTAATTACCCAAGTGTAGTTACAGGATGAGAGCTACGCTCGTGGTGTCCCGTCTTCCCAGTACTCTGTCATATAACACTTTGAAATTACTGATGGTCTTGGCCTCCACCACCTCACCTAACTTGTTCCAACTGTCTACCACTCTGATTGCAAAAGTGAATTTTCTTATTCCTTTAGCAGGTTTGTTCAGTTAGTCTAAATCTATGACCTCTTGTTCTTGTACGTCCAAGTCTCAGAAATTATTCCCAATCAATTTTATCGATTCCCGTTACTATTTTGTACGTAGTGTTCATGTCATCTCTTTTTCTGGGGGGAGCCCCGTCGTCTCCCCGGAGCTATCCCAGGCTGATATGCTAATGTCAGACTTTGGCATCAGTCATGTGTATGGAGTTCTTAGGCCTACCGGGGACCACGGCCAGAACCGGGCCCCCTCAGAGAGGCAAGGGGAGCAATGGCTTATAGAAGCCCCCGTGTAGTTGGAAGCATTCTATGTCTGCCATCGACCGGAACAGGCACCCAGAAAGGTAAGCGCCCCAAAACAAACCCATATTCTGGTTAAAATTGCTACCTAAAACCGAACTAGTGGATAGAACTCCCCAACCGAAAACAAGCAAACTAGTGTGACGTCACACACTGCCGCGCCGCTGTCTGCGCAGCTCCCCCCTCCCCGGGAGGGGGAAGGGGGAGCCCCAGACCCCCCGCGCCGGCTACCCACACCTCAGTTCTTGAGGCTGATGCTATAGGCGATGGTCGTGTGCTCTGGCTCCGGTGTCGCTACTGCACTGTGCTTTGCGTGTGGTGTTAGTTTTGTGGGTGCGAGAGCCAGGAGTTATCTTCAGTACTCGGGCTGCATGCGCCTAGGGCTGCCTTCCCTAGGTGCCCTGTAAGTACTGCCCTTGGGGCTTGGGGCCACCTTCCACAGGCTCCTCGGGGTCTGCCTCTGTTGGTCCGTTTTACCTTTCGGTTTTTCGGCCGCCTGTTGGGCTCTTGGGTGTTCTGTTCTCCCTTGTTACCGGCAGGTAAGAGGCAGTTTGCACTGGTAGGGGCGCAGGGTGCTGCTCAGCTTGTATTTCCCGACATCGCGACCGGCTCTGTTCCTTGGGGTTCGCTGTCCTCTTGCGGGGTTTTGTTTTTCTTTTTCTTTTTGCCTGGTGGGGGGTTCTGTCATTTTATTCAGTTTGTTTTTGCCCTTCCACTGTTCTCCTCGGTGGCGCCCCCTGCTAGGTCCCCGTGAGTGTACACGTCCCTGGGGTTCAGCTTTAGAAGTTTGCTTGGTAGTTTTGGGCGCCGGTTTGCAGCACCCTGCCTGGGACTACCTGAGCGCGAGTCCTCTTAAAGTAAACGCTCAGGACCCTGGGAATCCCCTAGGGGGCGCGTGGGTCCGATGGATGTGACCCCGGAGTCCCCACTCGCTGTGTGCGAGTTTGAGGGTTGCTCGGTCCCCTTGTCTCAGGGTGACCCTCATTGTTTTTGCCTCTGCCACGCTGCCTGTTGGGTCGGTGATACTTTCGACCCTGAGTCCTGTGAGTGTTGCTGCTTGCTTGTGACTCAATTTACCCAATCCTCTGATGATTCTATTCGGGTACGGGCGGCACGTGCGTTGCAGTCTAGGTTTCGTCTGTTGCAACGCGCTCGGTTGGTTGCTTCCCCGGATGCCCCGGGGCTGCCCCGCTTTGCTTTTCGAGACCCGGACTTGGGGGTCGCTTCGATCCTGGTTCAGTCCGCACCTCCTCGTCCTTCCCCTTCTGTTCGTTCTGGTCCCCCGCCCCTGCTTCCGGCCCCGAAGCGTCTGAGGGTTTCGGGGTCAGAGCAGGGGTTACTTGATCTCGAGACTCGGGCAGCTTCGGGGGTTGCCCCTTCCGGGGGGGCGGCAGAGGCATTCGAGTCTTGTCTCCCGGCCGAGGCTTCAGGGTCTGACCAGTGGGCCCCCCTTCCTCCAGCTTTTCCGGCTGCTCCGTCCTTGTCTTGTGGGGTCGGGGCTTGGGGAGAGGACTCGGCCTCGGGTCCTGTGGTGACGGACCTCGAGGCTGGGGAGGGGCTGACTTGGGGGCCTTGGGCCCCGCTGGACCCCGCCTGGGTTTTTCTTCCCTCTGAGCGGGGCTTATTGTTACAAGGAGTGGGGTTTTCTTTTCCCCCCTCTGCGTACGAGTTGGATTTGGTGTCGGCCCCTCCCCGGGTTCGGTTCCGTGTTCCCCCGGGTATGTCGGTTCCGTCCTTCCGGAGGTTTTCGGCTTATCGCATCCAACCTGGTGTGGTGCGAGCGGCCTTTGCAGCTTCCCTCCTGCGTGACCCGGATTATGCCTCGGAAATGGATCAGTCCACGTTCAGGTTTGGGACTTCGTTCCCTTTCTGGCTCCGTTACGAGGTTCCGGAGTCGTCCTGGCTAGCAGACTGCCCCTTGTTTGGTCTGGATTCCTGGCATTCCTTCTGTCGTTCCCGCACGCTGGAGTGGCGGGAAGCTTCCACGGTGCTTCAGGTTTTCCTGGGGGGTGAACTTGAGTACCTGAATGAGTGCTTGTTTGCCCCTGCCCTTCCCCGCGATGTGGGCGTTATTCAGCTCCATGTGCAGGTTCCCTCCCTTTCGGCGGCGCTCGTGGCGGAGGACTTGCGCGCCCGGGGCCTTTTGTGTTCGGCCTTGCGGTTCTTTTCCCTCCTGGAGCTGTCTTCGGATTGGCTCGTGGAGGATGTGGGGACGCTTGGGTCCGTCCCGGGGTCCGGCACCTTGTCCTCGGCTGCGCGTTCGTCGGCTGCCTTGTTGAAGCTGTTCACGCCGATTTTGCGGGATGTTGTTTCCCTGTTCTATGCTTCCCGTCTCGCGTGTCGGCAGGCGGTGCTGGGTTCCTCCGTGGAATCTGCTTGGGCTCTGGCTCTTAGGCGTTCTTCACCTTTTTGTCCTCTCCTGTTTGGGGAGTCGGCCGTGGCGCAGTTTATTCAGGCTGCGTCGGCGGCTTGTCGTCCGATGTCGGACTTGTTGGTTTTCCGGGGGTCCCGGGGTGGGTCTTCCCGGAAAGGTCGTGCCAGGGCTCGGGGTTCCTCTCGTCGTGGTAGGCCTCTGGTGTCAGGTTTGGGGTTGGCTCCTCCTGCGGACCCTCCCTCGTCTGGTCGGCGCGGTGTTCGCGCTGTGCGGGGTTCTGGGTCTCGTAAGGGTCGCCGGCCCTTTCGCGGTTTGCCCCCTTGACGGGGCGATGGGGGGGCGGCTTGCGCTGTTCGCCCACGCCTGGTCCCACGATTCGTGGGCCTTTCAGGTCGTGTCTCGCGGCCTGCGGTGGCGTTGGGTGGCCCCTCCCCCCTTTGGGGGGTCGGGGCTGGCAGGGCAGGCTTCTTCCCCTGCGCTCTGTCGAGTCGTCTTGGAGTGGGTACGCTTGGGCGTCGTCGAAACGACGTCGTCCCTCAGATGGGTTTCCCGTCTGTTTCCGGTTCCGAAACGGGACTGCGCGGACCTGCGGTTCATTCTGGACTTGTCCCGTCTGAACCCCTGGGTTCATTGCCCCTCCTTTCGGATGACTACGCTGTCTCAGGTTCGGCTCCTCTTGGAGCCGGGAGCTTGGATGGTGTCCCTGGACCTCCGGGACGCTTATTGGCATGTCCCGATTCATCCGCGGTTCAGGGACTGGCTCGGTTTTTGTAGTGGGGCGTCTGAGTTACCTCTTTCGCTGTCTCCCATTCGGGTTGAACCTGGCACCTCGCGTGTTCACACGCCTTACACGGGTTGTGGTGGCTCGTTTGCGTCTCCTAGGTGTTCGGGTGTTGGCCTACCTCGACGACTGGCTGGTTTGGGCTCCCAGCCAGTCAGCTTGCTTGCTAGCCAGGGATTTGGTTCTTTCCCAGCTCGCCGGGTTCGGGTTCTTGGTGAACTGGAGGAAGTCCCATCTGGTTCCCTCTCAGGTTCGGACTTGGCTGGGTCTCGTGTGGGACTCTCGAACCGCCTCCTTGTCTCTCCCTCCGGAGTCTCTCCTGCGGCTGCGGTCCCGCCTTCGTCTGTTTCTG